TTACCTCTATTGTCACTGTCAAGTGTTGGTACCAGAGTGATAGATACAGGCTGCCGAAAGTGATTGGAAAGTGTCCCTCCCTCCTTTATGTTCTGAAAGCATAAGTGTAGATTTGATATTTCTTCTACAAAAATCGGATAGAATTCACCACTGGAACCAGTTTTCATTGCAGGGAAGGCTTTTAATAATGAATTCCATTTCTTTCATAGCTATGGGCACTCAGATTTTCTATTTCATCAGGAGTCAGTTTTTGTTGTGTCAGTATTAGTCCTCTGAGAAGTGAACCCCTCCAGTTCACTAGGAGACTGGGTAATACCTGTGAAACCTCAAGGAGCAGAAAGCAGGATTAGATGAGGCAGATCTGATGTCTGTGAGAAGAACAGGGAAGGGAAGTTGATGCAGATCTGGTAAAGTCTCAGTTAACTAGTAGGGAACTCCAAAACAAACATTGCCTTTTGGAGGAGTCCCACAGTGAGCAGAAATGGCCAGAGTCTGGGACCTTCACCATGCTGACCTACTGGAGACTGCCTGACAAGGGTTCAGTCTTGACTTAAAAGCTGCCATGGATCTTGCATGTGCTCTAGCTGGAAGCTACTAGCTAACTGCTTTCCTGGTGGTTGAGCCAATAAGATCTTTCATGAAGAGAGTTCAAAGCATCTGTTTCCATAGTTTAGTAACTTCTGTTTCCCAAAGCCTTTGTCCATTTCATCTAAAAATTAAAATTTTCTGGCATAAAGTTATTCACAATAACATTTTTTTTTTTTTTTTGCTGCTAATGTCAGTAGGATCTGTAGTGATATACCTCTCTTATTCCTAGTGTTGATATCTGGATTTCTTTTTTTTTTTTCTTTCCCCTAAAAAAGTTTGCAAAGTAACTCGGTTTTGACTTTTAATTTTCTCTACTATTTGTTTCTTTTCTATTTCACTGATCGCATCTATTTTTATTCTTTTTTTTTACTTACTTAGTTCACATTCTTTCCCTGGCTTCCTAAGCTGAAATTTAGACCACTGATTTTTTAAATCTTTATTCTTCTCCAATATAAGCTTTTAAGCCAATAATTTCCCTCAAACCACTGATTTAGATTCATCACAAATTCTGGTGTATGTTTTTATTTTCAACACTATCCAGTTAAAAATATTTGGTAATTTCAACTACGTTGTTCCTTGATTCTCAGGTAATGATGCCAAACATCTGGGAATTTTCAGCTATATGATTGTTACTGATTTCTAATATAATTTCCTTGTGATCCAAGAACATGACTTTTATATAGTTGCAATCATTTGTAAATTGATGGTCAAGCATATGATCTTTTTGCCAGAGCCTTCAAAAGAATATATATTTTTGCTATTGTTGGGTATGATGCTCTATAAATGGCAATGAAGACCTTCAACAGTATTAATCAGATCTTCTATACCCTTATTGATTTCGAGTAATTTTCCTATCAGTTAAGAGACAGTGGTATTAAAATATTCAACTAGGATGATGGGTTTGTCCATTTTCCTTTTTGACGATCAGTTCCTGTTTTGTGTATTTTGAATCCTTATTATTAGGTGCGCATGAATTTAACATTTTCGTTTTCCTAATGAATTGACCAATTTTTATTATGTATACCACTCTATCTCTGATAACAAGTTATCTTTAAATCTTATTCTACCTGATATTAATAAAACTACTTAACTTTGTTATTAGCATTTGCATGATATGTTTTTCCATTTTTTTTTAATTTTCAAGCCACAAGACATGTGTCTATGTGTCCATGTAAGCAGCATACAGCTGAGATCATGCATTTTGTTTTCTGTGGGTGTTTTTTTGCCGAGGGGCAAGGGGGTCTGACAAGCTAATCCTTTTAACTAATGTGCTTAGTCCTCTTACGTTTATGTATTGATGTGATTACATTTAAGCCAATCGATTTGTTATTCATTTTTTATCTTTCCTAACTATGTCTTGTGCGCTAGTTCTCTTTTCCTACCTTCATCTGGGCTAATTAAATATTTTTAAACTGGTCTCTTTTATATCCACATCCTTTGTGCTACTTTTGTCATGTATTTTACAACTCCACACATTATAAACCCTGTTAATAAACATCACTGTAACTTGAGTTTTATATGTTATGTGTCTTTTAAAGAAGTCTAAGAAAAAGAAAGAAAAGTGTGCTTTGTCTTTTATATTTATCCACTCATTTACAGTTTCCAGGTTTCTTCTAATAGAAGAAACTCTGCTAATAGAACTCTGCTAATAGAACCTGATTTCTAGGTAGTATCAAGTCCATTCAGTCTGAAAAACTTGCTTCATACCTCTTGCAGTATAGATCTGCTGACAATGAACTGTCTTCATTTTCCTTCATCTAAAAGTGTTTTTAGTTCACCATTATTTCCAGAGAGAGTTTTTCTGGTTATAGAAATCTGGCTGACAAGCTCTTTTTTCTTTTTTTCAGCATTGATTGTTAAGAGGTCCTTCTAGCCTCCATTATTTCTAGTAAAAAGTCAGCCTTTATTCTTGTTTTCAAACTTATGTTATTATTTTCATTAATAATTTTTTTCTCTGACTGCTTTCATTTTATCTTTGGAATTCAAAAGTCTGACTATTATCTTTTGAGGTAGAGTTTCCTTTGTATTTATCCCTCTTGGGGGTGCACAGAGCTCCTTAGATCTGTTAATTTACAAATTTCAGCAAACTAAATTGTTTTTATATAATTGTTTCCTCAAATATTTTTCTTCCCACTCTCATTCCTCTCCTGTTGGGACTTCAATTAATTATATTTTAGGTCACTTCTTGTTATCTCATAGGTCAAATATTCACTATTTATTTTATCTATTTTCTCAGATATGTATACTAATATATCTTCAAAGTTACTACTCTTTTTCTGCCACCTTCAATCTTTATATAATGAATTTTTCATTCTAACTCTTTTACTTTCCAGTTTTAAAGTTTACATTTGCTTATTTTTATGTTTTCTGTTTCTCTGATGTTTTAATAACCTTAGTCTCTGTTAAGGTTTCCCAAATGTGCATTCATTATACAGACACTTTTCTTTGGTCTTTTAACATATTTTTAAAAGTTGTTTTAAAATTTTCTTCTGCTAAATCCAACACCTAATGTTGGAGTTCCTACAGTCAATTTCTATTATCTGCCTTTTTCATTTTCTTTAACTGTGAGTCATCCTTTCCTATTTCTTTGTATACATAGTAAATTTTTTATTGTATACTGCATATTGTGGATAAAACATTGTCAAGGCTCAGAATTCAGTTTCATTCCTCTAAAAAGAGTGTTGATTTTGTTCTAGCAAGAGGTTACTCAAACTCCAAATTGTGCGGTGAAAGACTCACATCTCTGTTCAATTCTTTAAGTTTCTAGTCATTCTTTTTACGGGGCCCTCTGGGTTTCCACAGATATATGTGCATTCATGTTTCCATAATCAGTAATATATCTTAGCAGAATTTATATGTAGATGTTTGGTTTTACACAATAAGAGCTTCCTTTCTTTCATGGATTCTCTTTACTGATCAAGCTACTCTTCCAGTTCCAAACTAGTCATTCGCCAGTGCCAGGGATTTCTGCCACCCCATGCTACATGGATGAGCAGATGATCTGGGGCAAAAAGCAGCAAACACACAAATCCCATTCAAGGCCCAAGGGATGCCTTCCTTCTACTTTTTGCCTTGTTATCTGGTGCCTTCAAATAGTTGTTTTTAGATGTTCTGTCCACAATATTTAGCCATGATATAATATCTGTATTTGTGTTCATCTGATTCTCTGATCATTGATTTCTGTCCATGACTGATAAATGGATCACAAACTGTTCAGCACCCCTACATACCAGTCAACTAAAACTATTGGCTGGCAAATTTTTAAGAAATTATTTCAGCTTTAGATCCCCAAATGCCTCTACATTAGCAAATTATATGAGGTTGATGGAGAGAAAAAAAGACTTTCATCCTACCTCTACCATCTGATTTTAACCACTGCATTAAGGAAAGAATGCTAATTTGTACTATGTGGTGGATATAAGGGTGGGTAAGAAGCAGTGGGTGTAACATTGAGATTATGACCAAGATAAATGCTCATAAAAGTGGTTTCTACTGCCTTTACCATTAAGTGTTTCTACTATATTAAAAATGTATGCCAAAATAAAATTTAAGCTTTACCCTAGAAATGCAATATTGCTTTCTACTTTATTAGAATTTAATAAACACGAGAGTTCCTGTAACTAATCCTCTTTCTATGTGGGAAGAGTGGGGGGAAGGTGAACCCCCTGAGCTCAGTATCACACTAGAGTACATTGAAGGTGCTAAGGATTTTGTCTGAGGGCTTGAGAAATTAAGGTCCACATTTGAGGTGCTGTTCAGTGTTCCTTCTCAAATTGAAATTATCTTGAAATTTCTCAAATTGAAATTAACACTTGGGTTCCAGGGAAATCTGTTCAGCCTACTTAATAGAGTTTGTTAGATCCTATTTGGACTCACCTTGATTAGAGAGTAAGAAAGCCACTCGAGGGGGAAGACTCAGATCTCCAGACACAATTTGCAGGCATTCCACTTAAGACATAGATAATCGAGCACTTTCTCAGACCCAGAGCAAATAATTTTCATTCCACAGATCAGCCCTGAATATTTTTTTAATGTGAATCTTTTTCTTTCTGAGCCATTGAAAAAAAAATCAAAGACTTTTAACTTTGAACATCACATAGGCCACAAAAAAAGAAAGTTTTGTTTAAAGTAATGCATAAAATTATGCTCAGTATTGCTCCAGGAGAAGGAGAGCAATCTTGATGTGATCATTTAGTGGTTCTAAACCTAAAATGCCCTTTCTACTACAAAGGCAAACGAGAAGGAAAATAAATTTTTAAAGAACCTGTTTATAAGAACATCAAACAGAAAGAAAAAAAATCATTTACTCAAAATATCTAGCTGCATAGTTATGAAGTTAGGGGACAGGGCTTAATTATACAAAGAAAAAGGAAGTATAAAATTATCAGTATGAATTGATTATATATTCTTACCAAGGCTTCATAATCTTCTGCAATTTCTGGTATCGGCTGCAAAATTTAAAAACAACCATGTGAGAAGCATGTTTGAAAGCCATGATTTTTACACAAATAATACATATTAAAGAAAACTCAAGATTATCTGGGCATGGTAGTGTGTGTTTGTAATTCCAGTGACTCTGAAGGCTGAGGCAGAAGGATGGCAAGTTCTAGGCCAGCCTCAGTAACTTTGAGAGACCCAAAATAAAAAGGGCTGGGGATTTGGCTCAACAGCAGAATGCCTTTGGGTTAGATCCTTAGTACTGAGAGAAGAGAGAGAGACAGAGAGAGAGAGAGAGAGAGAGAGAGAGAGAGAGAGAGAGAGAGAAGAAAACTACACATCAGATATAGGACAGAGAATCTATTGCCAAGTAAAGCCATTTTATCCATTTTAAAATATTCAAAATAATAAATTAGTATTCTTTAATGAAAAGAGGCAGTCAAAACTACTCTCAAAACTCACTTTATTGAGGTATTGCTAAAGACAATGAGAACACTCTCTTTGGATTAGAATGGATCTGTTCAATGATGGTGGAACCCTAAGGGATAAGAATGCCTACATTTGCAATGAAAAAAGTTAAGCCCCAAAGTACTGGACTATAAGGAAATAATTTATTATCCTTCATGGTAAAATATCTGCTAATTGTACTTTTTCTTCAAAATGTGTGCTTCTTCTGAGGGAAGACACTAGAATTTCTGTGATGAGAAATTGTGTCAGACACTAAGATCAGAACTCTGGGAAGAAACCTGCAATGGGTAAACCTGGCTACAACAAGGGACAAGGTATTTAAAAAACAAACCAACAAACGAAAAATCTTGAGGGTACCGGAGTTTCAACAAGATAAGGAAACCAGAGATTCTATTCTGATCAAACCACTTTCCATTCCTCACATCTGCCAAAAGTCTAGCTTTAAATCTGTTGTCTAGCTGTATTAAGGATCCTTCTGTTCCTTCCAACTAGTCATCTCCTATCCCCAAACTCACCTCACCCTAGGCTACTGTGGAGAGCCTCCCTGACCTTGCATTTCCCTCATTCAGACTGCAGGGGGCACCAGTGTCTGCACACCACCAGCCATAGGATATCTCACTACCCTGGTTCCCTGAAGGCCAGGGATCTTTACCATAACTGGCATAACATCAGACACACACAGAGTAGGTACTCAATAAACCGTTGGTGCATAATTCTGTTCTGAAGGCTTCACATTCTCAATCACATAAAACATAACTCCTTCAACAACTAAAATAGCAGCATGAAGACTAAAATCTAGTGTTTTGTAAAACTATGAAAAAAAGGTATATAAGGAGGGTTTTTTTGTTCTCTTTTCTTCCCTTCCCCTCCTTTGACTACTTTTCTTTTTAAAATATTTATTGTTTTTCTTCCTTCCTTCCTCCATCAAAAAGCTATTGGCAGAGGGAAAAAAAAAATAGGTAACCAGGGGGCGGCTGGCCTGAGCAGAAGCTGGGGACATTTGCAAAAGCCAAACACAAATTTCCACTAAAAGGAACTAGGGGTCCTTGGAGAAATGGTTCATGCCAAGGCCGAGGAAAGGAAAGATCTAGATAATGCTGGGAACATCTGATTGAGCCAGAAAGCAAAGAAATGCTCAACAAATGATGGGGAAATGGTCAAAAGGACACAGAAGCTAGGTTGAAGGAGCTCCTGCCAGCCACATCTGGGACAAGATGAGCATCCCAATAGTCATAGTACTGACAGATGATAGCCATGGAATAAAACAGAATAGATGAGTCCACTTATTATCAAGTGATGTGTTGATAAAGTTTCAGAACAAAAGTCCTGAGGGGAAAAACACAGAAATCTGATGTGTACCACTTTCCAATGTCTACGATGTCACTATTTTTACCATGGCTGATTTAAAGTACCAACATGACATCTGTGAGCATGAAGCTGGGAAGAGTTGCAATACTCTTATTGGATGTTGTACAAGCCATCACTAGCACTCCACTGGAAATCAATATACAAATGAACAGAAACATAGGAGAATGTAGGTCTCTTCCAACAGAGAAAAGGCAACTAGAAAATGGAGAAAGAATGATAACATCAGAAAAGCCTCCTTCGGAAATTATAATAAGAAGAAGTAAGTTAAATAAGAAAATTAGTGTTAAAACTGGTGGGTGAAATTGGGATGAGGAATTGGATTTTACATGGTTTCAAAGTATCTCCCTACAAATTATTCATAAGTTAATTGCAAAAGGTTGGCGGTAAATGTTGCAATGAAGACAACTGAAGATGTTCTTAATCAAGTGGTCAAAGTGAATGTGATTAAGACAAAGAGACACCACAGGCCAACAATAGCATACAATGAAAAACAAAAACAAAATCATCTGCATCATTGTGAAATTCCAATCAAGAATATATAATACAGACTCAATCATGAGAACACATTAGACCAACCTGACCCCGGAAAAACATGTGGGGTTCAATGGAAAACTGTGCAGACTATATACATACTCTTCTGGGTTATCAGATTCTGGCTCTGTGCTGCCTTTGAGCTATTTTATAACTCTTGCAAGCCATAGGTAACTAATGGATATATATTTTTGTCCTGTCTGGTAGTGATTTAATTGGCTTCCTCCCTGCTGGTGGAAAACCAGTTTGGTCTCCATTTGCAATTCATCTCAACATTCCTTTGCTCCATATAAATTTGTTCTCTTTTGACTTTTCCCTTTGAAACGATTATACCATCTGCTGGTCCCCTCATATCATATGGGTAAAACTAATTCTTTTAACACATGTCCATTTGTACATCTGTAAGAAAGTCCTAGGTTTACCTTTCCCTGAAAAGGATCCATATCCAATTACCTTTTAACAAATCCAACTGGAGGACAGGCTAACTAGATTGCTAACCTATAATCTTAAAAAAAAAAAAATGTCAAAGTTGTGGAAGAACAGGGTGGAAGGTGCTGCCTGGAGATATATCCTTTATATTAAAAGATGCAATCAGGACAACAGGAAAAAAAAAACTGAGTGACGTCTCTCTAGGTGAAGGACAAATGAGAGTTCTCTATCTTGCAACTTTTCTGCAAGTTAGAAACTATTTTGAAATAAAATATGTGCATGTGCATGAGATATATTAAGTAGTCACTGCAAAGCTTCAAAATAACTTTCTGGCTGGGGGCCCAAGCAACTTCAGGTTTTTCACACATTCCACCTTGACTAGTGACTCAGTCAGTCCTGGATATTCCTCCCAGACCAGAGTGCAAAAAAATACCTGGGCCAAGTCAATATTCCTCACATCTCTATTTGTGCACCCTCACTTTATTTAGATTCTACAGAAGAAGGGAAGTGTTTTTTGTTGTGATATGTGTCTGTTGTTCTAACTGGGATACTCTCTTCCTCCCAGGATATTCTTTTATTTTATTTTTTTAAAGAAATATGAGAAGAGAAATGGTTCCTGGAAAGGCTAAGGTTTCACAGTGGCCAGAAACCTCTTGTCCCAGCCCAAGGAATGGTATTCTCTGCATTAGCAGAAGATAATCTCTTCTTGAAACTGGCCTTATGACCCCTTCTCATTTCCATTACCAGTGAGATCCACAAAGACCCAGAGAGAAAGCAAAGGCTGATGAGGAGGGGGTAGATCCTGTTTAAGGAATTTTCTGAAGTTGGCCTCTGATGCCTTTGTGATGCAAATTCTTGGCAGGGCCCCAAAAGGGCTGTTCCAGTTGTGTCTCCCTTAGATATGCAGAGAAAAGCCACAGGGGGGAAAAAAAAAAAAGTAGAGGGAGCTGGGAAGACCAGGCAGTCAGTCCTTCCAGCTGGGGCTGACTGCAGAGACCACATGGAGCAGGCTTCTTTCTGGCTCAGTCTGGGAGCTTGTTTGCTACTCCCTGTGGTCTCTGAGGGGGTGAAACTTTCTAGGTATGAGCAGGGCTGAGCTGCTAGGCTCAGTAGTTGGCTGATCCATCTGGGCTGGCCTGGACCTCCCAGAACAGCCTGGACTTACAAATACACCAGGTTCTCAGAAGAAATGGTATGAGTTGAAGCTGACAATCTGACTGTAGCATTTAAGTTTCTTTCAAAAAAAGAAATGTACCTTTTGGGTGAAGACACAAATAGTCAGAACTGTCATATGCATCTCTGTATTCTTCCCACATGCCTCCCTCTACCCCTCACAGGCCTAGCGCAGTGTCAGAAATACTGCTCAGCACTAAGAACATACACTTTGCTCAATGAATAAAACTACAAACCCATTCTCAAGTGTGGATGCTAAGCAACAAAGCTGCAGCAACATGCAGCGTGTGTTAAGTGCTACCTCAAGTTTCACAATACCTAAAAACTGAAAACAGCTATGTTTCATGTAAAGAAAAGAAAATCTGAATAATGAAAGTTTAACATGAGACTATTCTTGTGTTGTAGTGACAACAATCTTTATACACACATGCAATATACCTATATATAGCATCAGTCAGTCTTCTTCTGAAACATGCATGACAGAGTGGATGGGGGCTAATTATTTACACAATTAGTGTTGTTCCTTTTGAAGACAATTACTTAAGGATTTTCTCTACCACTAAAATATTCACAAGACTCTTTTACACTATTCCTGACACAGCCAAACTTTGGAGAAATGACCTCAATCAAACAAATAAATCAGTACTTATATATTCCCTAGATGAATGAGAACTCCTCAAACACCTCACTGCTGTTTTTTTCCTCGAAAAACTAGAAAATCTGTGGGAATTCCAGCCCAGTATTGATCAGGGTATTAGAAATGGATATATTCTTATACAAATGGGAAAGTACAAATTAGAACATTCTGGCAAGCTCCTAGGCTGTTCTGATTTTAAAACAGCTTTAAAATGTAGATATCCTCTGAGTCAAGAATTTTAATCCAACAAAATAATTTCAACAGTCACTCAGATTTTGCTAAAAGGAAAGCTGACTTGAGGATATTCAGAAAACACCCTGAAAACGATATAAAGGCCCTAGGAGAAGGGGAATGGTTAACTCTACTATGTACATACCTCCAATTATATTATGTATCAACTGTACCTCAACAAAGCTGTAAAATGAAATAACATGCAGGCAATGCAGGCAATAAAGCTGGAAAGAGTAATATTTAATGATATGAGTCTATTGTTAGATATAAAAAGCAGATAGGTTATAAAGAGTATGAATATTACAACTCTACTTTTATAAATTCTGTGCCTAACTGTGTATTTAAAAGGATATATGTAAAGGATATACACCAAGATATTAAACGCGATTGTCTGTGGAAGAGGAAATGACAGATTATTCATGATTATTTTCCTTCTGTTTATTTACATATTCTTAACAATAAATCTGATCTTCTGTTAAGGAATGAAGGTTAATTTTTAAAAGACTGTCCAAGTTCTTTGGAAATCCATGGATTTCAACTTCCTCTCTGTGGATACCACTGCCCGGGGCGGTGCAAGAGCTTACTCATATCCCATCCGCATCATTCTCTCATCACGTTGCCAAGCGGGAAGGAAACTGCTACTGCTCTGCCCTTTGGTTCTTGGACAGGTTCCACTGTTCTCTGCCCTCAGTGATGACTGGCCATTTAACAGGAAAGGGCACAGAGTAAACTGCCCAATTATCTGTGTGCATGGAGGCACAAAGAATGTCAAGCTGTGTTAAAACCCAAAGAACAGACAGAAACTTGAAGTTGCAGGTTAAAAATAAATAAATAAATAAATAAAATTCAAATCAAATATATCATTCCTGAAAATTTTTTGATAGCCATCTCTTTTGTGAAGCACTGTACATTTCTTCATATTCCTCACCTTGCTTTGGCGGAACACGTTTCCACACTTTGTTTCCCCACCCATGTTTCAATCAGAAACTGGGAATGGGATTTCGAAATTCCACAAGGATGGAAAAATTGAATTCAGGCTTTCAGCACTTTCAGTACGGTGCTCTGCCAAAATGATACTTCCCTGTTGCTCCTTGGTGGCTGATTTGGTCCCTTGGCCCTCCTGGTGCCAGCAGAAGAGAGACTTTGAAAGCATAGCCTTAGGTCATGAAAAGCAGGTAAGAAATCTCTGAATCTCATCATTATTAAAAGTAAGGAGAAAACTGCCAGCTGTGTGTGTTTTTTCAGTGTTTCCTAAAAATTTCCACAGGTCCAGCTTGGGAAGTCTCCACCTTCCCCAGCTGACGTCTGCCCAGGAGTCATGACTAACTGCCTTCCTGACTGCAGAATCTAGTAAATTCCTATGTTTTTTATTCCAAAGGTTTCCTACCAATTAATTAAGATGTCAGTGTAAGTTTAATTGAAAAGCCAGGTTTCCTTATGAGAAAAGCATCTTTCTCTTTTCTTTTTAATCTAAGCAAGAGATCAGAAAAATGAGCCACCTCTTAGAATGAGATGCAGCACTGGCAGAAGGAAGAGGCCTCAGGATCCATCCCTCAAAAGCAGCATCATTCTGAAATTAGGCAAAACAGTGAGAAGACACCAAAGGTGACCCAGAGAGATGTCATTCCTTCCCACAAACAGAATGTGATTGTGAGAGAAAAATGCAAAACAGAATTTGTCCAAGATCTGGTTTGTGCTCTGCTTACCAATCTAGAACATGGACAGATGTATGGAATTGCAATGGTTTACTGATGAGTACAAATAGTTAAAATGTTAACACGCTGGATACTCTTAATGGTATGATTAACATAAAGAAAATTGAATATTGACATTCTCTCGTGCTGTACATGTGCAACATGAAAACCTGAGTCAGATCTGCTGTCCACAGACCCCAGATCCTAGGTCTTCGGGATGGCGAGCTTTGGGGCAGCTCTATAGGTTGAGGTGAGTTATAAGGTAAAACAAAAGGGCTGATAGAAAGTAAGAATGTCAACAAGACAAATGTACATTATGAATTTGTACTATTTTTCTTTTAAAACAAAAGTAGAAGTGTGACTTTGATAAGAGTCATGGTCTGAATTATGTCCCTCCTCCCCAAGATTCACATGTTGATGCTCTAAGCTTTAGTACTTCAGGATGGGACTCTGTTTGGAGATGGGGCATTGAAAGAGGTGATTAAATTCAAATGAGACCCTTAGGAAGTCTTCCCTAATCCAATTCTACCAGTATCCCTTTAAGAGGAAGAAAATTTGTACACAAAGAGCCCCTGGTTCACATGCACACAGGGAAGCCCATATGAAGACACAGGGAGAAGGCAGCCACCTGCAAGTCTCAGAGGAAGACCTCAGAAGAAGCGAACTCTGGGGACCCCTTGACCTTGAACTTCCAACCTCCAGAATGGTGAGAAAAAAATGTGTGTGGTTTAAGCCACCAGTTTGTGACACTGTGCTATGGCATCCTTAGCAGACTAATGCAATGAGATTGTGAAAAAGGAAAGCAAGCGCCTAGCCCTGTAACAACATCTTCTTTGTCAAAATACACAACTGCCAGTCTCTGGTGCCACTGAAACTCACCACAGTCCTGTGTTCCACATGCATGTCACGCAGACCCCTGCTTCCATATCTTTATTATTAAAACTGTAATTATGATGGCTATTCTTTTAAACTGGGAAGTATTTACACAGTATCACTACGAATATTCTTGTCCCTGGATACCTAGGCATCTGTCGCAGAGCCACCTACAATGAACAGTTGTCATTCCACCTGGCACACTGCCCTTGACATAGCAGTGACTGGTACTTAGGTAAATCCATAAATGAGCTAACATTTTTCTATTTTAGTTTAACATATTAGTAAATGTCACTGAGGCTGAAGCCCCAAGGGCTCACTGTCCACCTGGCAGTGGTGGGCAGGCAGCGCAGGTTACCACAGCTGGCAGCACCTGCAGTAATCCACAATTGACAGGGAAGGTATTTATAACCACGGCTCCTACTCCTCCTCTGCCCACTAGAAACAAGGATGAAAGGGCTGACACTCTAGGTTTTCCCTTGAACTTCTGCCACAGATAGAACCCTTTTTATCCTTTTCCTCTGTCCAAGCCTTGGATCCCTGAACTCATTCTTGTTGAATTCCTCCTAGTTGTCCCAAGCTCCACCTCCACTTAGAGCAACCACTTTGGATTCTGGAAACACCCAGAACTTGAGCTTCCCCATCCCACTCCAAGGTGATGTACTCTAAAACTTTCATGAGCAAACTTTTAGTCACCATTAAAACAAAACAAGGTCTGGGGATGTGGCTCAAGCAGTATCATACTCGCCTGGCATGTGCGGAGTGCTGGGTTTGATCCTCAACACCACATAAAGATAAAATAAAGATGTTGTGTCCACCGAAAACTAAAAAATAAATATTAAAAATTCTCTCTCTCTCACTTAAAAAAAGATATATTAAAAAAAAAAAAAAAACTGGTACCTGTCTACAATTGACCTTTTTCAGACCATCCAAGCAGTTAGCATTCTTGGATTTGATGTGCATTTTTTTCCCTATTCAGTTTTAGACATTTTTTCTTACTTTTCTGTATGGCAAGATTCCCAGTGCAAACTCTAAAGATCATTCTTATATGGGACATATCCCCAGTATTGTAAAACATACTGTTTTTAAATGAGAAGAAAAGTATCTTTTACTAGTGCCAAATGTGGTGGATAAACAATGTCAAGCATAGGCCAGGAAGGAAGGGATCAGGGAGGGAGGGGAGGAGGGACGGGACCCAGACAGAGCCCCAACAGGTACAGTCATCAGTTCATTCTTCATATCACTAGGTACTAAAGAGAGATGTAAACAGCCCAGGATTAAATCTCAGTCCCCTATGGCATTTATTTTTTTTCCTAATACATGCCTATCCCAATCTTACACATATTAATATGCAACGGATTCAGCCATTTCTCATGCCAATAGCACCCCTCCCTGTGAGCAGGGACAGCTCCTTGTCCATCCTCCCTGGGCATTCAGTGGTCTGGGGAGAGGTCTTCCCATACATGTAAGAGCTGGACCCTCCTGGATTCTTATTCCACCCAGAGAATCAAAGCCTTCACTGAGGAGGTAAGTTCTCCTACCAGAAATGCTGGTCCCTCTCTATCATGAAGGAACCTGAGCTCCTGCACAGCCCAGTTCAACAGCATATTCTCTGAGAGACCCTTTGAAATTGAACAGCTGCAGCTTCAAGCCTCCTACCCTCATCAGGAACTATATCCAATGGAGTTCTGTCTGTATCATAGTGTCCATCCTTTTTTGGAAAGCAAGGTTCAAATCTTTGAAAAATTTCCCACTCCCCACTCTTTCACATACAGTAGGCATTAAATAAATATTTACTGCATTTAATTTTAAATAATTAATGACATATATTTGATTATTCAAACGTTAATAAAAGAATAAACTCCAGAGTGATATCTTGCCCTTGTTTAATACTCTGCAACATAAGTAGATGAAATCAGGGAAAGGAAGTTTCCTTAGAGATAGGCAAGAGATATGAGAGATTAATATTCTGTAGAATTATAAATTTAGTGTTGTTAAGGACCACAGGTATAATGAACTAATATTTTTTTCCTCCAAAATACAAAACTTCAGGCATTTATGGATTACTGCTATGCCTCAGATACTGGCTAGTTGGTGAGTAAAGGACACACAGTTACTGAAATTACAAACTCATCCTCTAGCTATTACTGAGTGTGTGTGTGTGTGTGTGTGTGTGTGTGCGCGCGCGCGCGTATGTTTTACAGGAGATTTACTACTGAGATACATCTCCAACTTTTTTTTTCTTTTTGAGATCAGGCCTCCCTAACTTTTGAGGCCAACCTCAAAATTGCAATACTCCTGCCTCAGACTCCTGAGTCTCTGGAATTATAGGCATGCATCATGGTGCCCAACTCCTAGCTACTATCTTAAAAGCCATTTTCTCCTAAGTCTAGAAAGTTCTGAGCTTTTAAAGTAGAAATTGCAAACACAGGGAATTTAACAAACATCCAAAATGCTGGAACAACTAGGACAGAGTTTGGGTAAAGGATGCTTACTCAGTGCCGCTTTCAACCATCTGGGTGAGGAGAGAGATGCCGTCCAGGTTTATAAACTCCTGGGCAAAGGTGACATCCCGGGAGAGGCTGGCCAGGTCCTTCAGGGCCTCCAGTTTGGCGTCCATGCTTGACGACTGGATTCGTTCATGGAGCTGCTGGGCATTTTGAGCCTCAAGGGGGGCAAAAATAAAGAGAATATTGTTCAAAAAGGAAAGTACAACAGCACAAAAAAATAATATCTCCATGAGAAATAAAGACACGGAGGTCCCAAATATGAACGCACACTGTAGAGTAGGCATCTCAAAGGCAGGTTCCTCCTACAGAGACTCCACCTCCAGTGCCCCTTCCATTCCCTTGGCAGTGGGCACCAGGAGCCTTCTTTTGATAGAACTTGTCATTTCCATTTCAAGGAACAGCGGGGCAAGAGCACCGGGATATTAAAGCAGCAGAAACCAAACAGTGGCGTGGCAGAGAGGAGGGAGAGTCACGGTGGAATGTTAACTTTGTAAGTGAAATTATTATCTGGAAGTGACAAAAAGCTATCTGCTCAGTTAAGCAATCAGACAAATGCAAAGGGCACACTGGCCCATTCTGTCAGGGCTCTGAGCAACAACTACATACTACATTCTGAAGCTTCGTTAGACACCCAAACCACCTTTCCAGGCTACTGAAATCTTGCAGCAGGATGTGCTGCCTGCAAATCCAATTTTCAACAACATGTGTTTCACAGCATTGGCTACCTTCTGTGCAAACTTAAAACAAAATAATCAAGAAAGCCAAATGAACAGCTATTCCTAGGACTGCAGTTCTCCTTCGTAAGGTGTCTGCATTGGGCTTCTACATGCAGGAGAGAAAGGCCGGGGTGGACTCTGGATGATGTGTAGTTTATGTGTCTCATTCGTTCACATTAAGACAAGGTTTCTATACCAATTTTCAGTTGGGACAGGAAATAAGAAAAATGGTTGGGTTTTTTTTTTTTTTTTTTTTTTTTGTAATAGAAATAACTGAACATCTGTTGTAGTTATTTAACCCAAAATTGCAGTGGTTTAAGTTCCATCTTCACATTCTCTTTCTCAGTCAAGGTTTCTAGACCTACTTTTCAGTTGTGGCAGGAAATAAGAAAAATAATTTTTTCTTAATAGAAATAACTGAACATCTGCTGTCGTTATTTAACTCACAATTGCAGTGGTTCAAGTACTCTGCCATCTTCACATTCTCCTTCTCAGGTACTCACTTCCTCCTTTGCAACTCTATTGTACCTTAGAGAAAAGGTAAGGTGGGGTCTGCTGTGGTTTGAATGCAGTTTGACCCCCAAGGGCCCATGTGCTGGAAGCGTGGTCCCTATCTGGACATGAGAAGTGGTAGCACCTTTAAGAGGTAAAATTTAGTGAAAGGTCATTACTGGCCCCTCCCTGCTCAAGTTCTGGCTTCCTGTCCTACCTTGTGATCTCTCTTTAAAGGCTCTCTCCACCATGGCTTCCACCATGAGGTCCTCACCAGAGATGAGCTGACTGCCATTGCCATGCCCTTGAACCTCCAGAACTGTGAGCTAAACAAACCTCTTTTCTTTGCAAGTTATCTAGTATCAGGTATTCCATTATAGTCATAGAAAACAGACTAATGTGGGGTATTTGACCCCAATGATAAGCTTTCTCTCCTAAATGAAGAACACCCTATGGACTAGGAGAGGGTTAGACTGCAGAGTAGAAGTTGGGAATCCATATAGATAATGAGAGCAAATGGACTCTAACTCAACAGGCCCCACAGAAACAGCCTTGCCCTCCTGGTCCATTTCCCTTTACTGTCACCTGTAAGCAACCCCCATGGAGAGAAGGAGATTTACCCAGAATATCAAAGCAATTCTTTAGTAACCATGTCAAGGATGAACCCATGCCCCATCACTTGGTCAGAGAGATCCTAGAATCTCCCATTTTATTATAACAAAGACAGATACTTTGCATCAGATATTAGAAAGAAGGAGGAGGAGAATGAGAACACTCCTTACAGATTCACTGATTACCAAATAACTGCAAAGGCCCTCAAATTCTAAATGCCCAAATTGGTTAAAGAGACAGTAGAGAGCTGAGTGATAACTTTATTTATCTTTTAAAACTGTTTAAAGGTACATCATTAGCCAAAAATTTCAAATGGATATATAGCATTCCAATGGATATTTCAAATGGATATAATAATATTGAACTATAATAGTGACCCAAGTGTATCACCTCAAAGTCCTTGGAAAATATACTTTTTTTCCAAGTAGGAAATCTGCATTTACTATACAGATTATGATAATAAGTACTCAAAAAGTCTTTGTTATTATTAATGATAACTAACAGGGTTTGGTGATGTTAAAGCTATCAATAAAAATAGCTGGTAGTCACCTAGCACTTTTGATGAGTCACTGTTCTAAATACTAGCATTAAGTAATTTATTTCATATGCATAACAGTCCTACCACCTAAGTACTTTCATATTATTAATTTAATAAAGAAAACTGAAGCCACAAAAAGGTTAAGTAACTTGCCCAAAGTCACACAGATGATCATATTGAAACTAAGATAAAACCAAGGCCGCTAGACCCTAGAGAACCATGCTCTAAAGAGTGGGTTTCAATTCTTGCATGCACAAGAATTACCTGGAAAACTTCTTAAAACACAGATCCCTAAGCCACCTCTGGAGTTTCTTGTTTCTACAGCTTGAGGTGGGGGTCTCCCAAATTACATGCTGAACAAACTCCCAGGTGCTGCTGATGCTTCTGGTCCCTAATCATATGCCGAGACCTACTGCTCTAAATCACTGAGGACATTGCATCTTGCAGAGATGATGGAATGTGTATCTCTGATTGTGCCTTCCAATTACCACCTCATTTTCCCCAGCTGGGGCACAATGAGCCCATCAGGATTTACTGTACCAAAAAAAAGAAAATCTACTTGTTCTTGTAAAGGCTATGCATTTCTCAGAAAGAACTTTTGCTAAGAAAATAATGGGAAAAAAGTCAATTAGATGGAAGCGAGGCAAATGGAATTTATTAGACCATTCCTTTCTACTTCATTTGTCTGTCTTTGATGTTACCCACTTTAGAGTAAATAAATAAGTAAAATTTAAAATAAGTGAAAAGATACAACAGAAACTTGAAAAGGACAAATGTCCCAAACAGAGGAATCGAGACCGAACAGTCCCAAATCCCAAGACTGCTAAGGGGTTGCTGCTATGGAATTAAACTATTTTAGCAAGGCAATCACACATCAGAGTAGCAAAGCAATACCCTGCCTTGTTGGCTTCTCAGCCAGGAAGTCACACTAAGACCAGTATTAAAGGTCCTCCAAATGGTGCCCAACTGCAACATTCAAAGGTCATAAGATGCAACAGCTTGAAACGTTCCTATGGAGCCATTCTCTCCTCCTGGCCCAGGTGTCTGAGTATGTGTCCTGTTCTCAGGGTGCTGTTTTTAGTGTTCCCAGCAGGCCTTGCTCCTTCCCGTGGCATCATGATCTAGGGAGGCAACTCTTCTTAAATGTGTAGGATTCCCATGGGGTTTGCTTTGGGATATGCTTTCCTCTTTGTTTCAGAACCACTGGAGGACACATCATTAATGAGAATCAGGTACCGTGGCCAGCAAGGTAAGTCACCTTGAAAGGCTCCCTGAATTAGGAACAACTTCCTTCCAACTCTGTCCCTGGCTGCTCTGGAGCCTTGGTGAACTTCTCTCCACCCTCATTTTCCCTATCAGTAGGTACAGGGAGGAACTGTGATGGGATCATGGTTACGGTTTCCTGCAACCCACAGAGTGACAGATTACTTCCCACCTGGGCAAGAGCCCTCATCAAGGAGTCTGCCAAGAGAAAGTGTTCCAGGTGAGTCTCCAACATGGCTTTGAATCAAAATATTATGTCAAGCTGCTGGGACATCCGTAATGTAATATATTTTCAGTTGGAACCAGAACTGATATGTATTCTTTTTGTCTTCTCTAAACAATCCGGGTAGAAAATTTTTATCATACAAAGTAAAAGGGAATAAACGTTTTTATGATTAAAATGTTTGTATTAGCAAGAAAAATTTATATTTTGGACACCAATTATTGTAGACCCCTTTAGATTTAATTTTACTTGGCCTCTACTCAGACAAAATCTTTATATAATTATTGATTTGAAAACAGTGCCAAACCCCAAAATCTCCAACTACTAATTTATCAAATACTTCCAGAAAGCTTACTCTGAGCCTGGCACCGTCCTGTACATTGCAATAGACAAGACAATCAAATTTCTCGACTTCCTGGAGCTGACCCATTTTCCGGTGGGAGATGAACAATTTTTTAAAAAATTAGGAATAAAAAAATCAATACAATATTGCTAAGTTTCATTGCAAAAATCTAAAACGGAGGGACATGATAGAAAGTGACTGGTGGCTTCTTTAGATGGGGTGGTTTTCAGGGTCAAGCTATCTAAGGAAGTAGCATTCATGCAGTGATCTGAGGAACAGAGAGCCAAACACACTGGGGAGGAGGAAGTATCCTGGGATGTAGGAATGATTATCACAGAAATCTCTTTAGGTAACATAAGCCTGGCATGTCTGGAGGGACAGAGGACCAGTATGTGTGGAGTTAGTGGGCAAAGGGCAGAGAAGAGGGAGAAAGGATGGAGAAAAGATAAGGAAGATGTGCTAGGGTGTTCTGGAGCATGCAAAGATAGAGGAGTCTGGTTGGTGATGTGTTTCCCTTCAGTGATGCATTTAAACATCTGCAACAGAGACCTGGAGCACTGAGTGGGAGCACCTAAAACGGCATTTATATGCACACTAGAAGCCCTGTTCAATAGAACAATTGTGAAACACTCAGGACACAGGATGAAATAAATGGAATTAAAAATCAAACTTTCAGAGAATGTAAGACACCATAGGTGCAGCCTCATGACAGAATAATGGAGAAATATGTTTTATTATTTGTGAAGGCAGGGCTGTATGTATGCAAGGCTGTGTGGATCCATTAGAATCGAAACTCCAGGAGAGGAAACTTGTTAGATTTGCTCTTTACACTATATTCCCAGCATCTAAAACAGTGCTTGGCACTTACTAGGAGTTTAAAGAAAAGTCACCAAATGAATGAATAAGTAAATGGATATATATATTCATGTATGCATACATACATTCATATATTTGCATACAAATAACCA